TGTCAGTGTCACTCAATCTGTTATCTGTAAGTTTTTGAAAAAAGAGATTATATGTCGGTATGGTTTACCTGAAAGAATCATTACCGATAATGCTACAAACTTGAACAACAACATGATGAAGGCTGCTTGTGAGCAATTCAACATAAAGCATCACAATTCTACTACCTACAGACCAAAGATGAATGGTGCAGTAGAAACAGCAAACAAGAACATTAAAAAGATAGTGGAGAAAACGACTGAGACCTACAAAGACTGGCACGAGAAGCTGCCCTTCGCTTTGTTTGCTTACCGAACCTCGGTACGAACCTCGACTGGGGCAACTCCGTTTTCGCTAACATATGGAATGGAAGCAATGCTGCCCATTGAAGTAGAAATCCCATCATTACGGGTCCTGACAGAAGTCAAACTGGATGACGCGGAATGGGCTCAATCCAGATATGATCAGCTAAATCTGATAGATGAGAAGAGACTGAAGGCCATTCGCCATGGCCAAATCTATCAGAAACGAATGAATCGAGAACATGACAAGAAGGTACGCCCGAGAACATTCCGAGAAGGAGATCTGGTGCTAAAGAGAATTTTGCCAGTTCAGAAAGATTTACGAGGAAAATGGACGCCAAATTGGGAAGGACCCTATGTTGTGAAAAAGGCCTTTTCTGGAGGAGCCCTTGTCCTGGCCGAAATGGACGGACCTGACCTACCACATCCCATCAATTCGGATGCAGTCAAGAAATACTTCGCTTAGGATGAAAACCCGAAGGGGCGTCCTAAGTAAAAAAAATGAAAAACGTTTAGGGTGAAAACCCGAAAGGGCGCCCTAAATTAAAAAAAAAGGAGAAAAAGAAAAAGAACAAAAAGGTGGGTTTAAGATGAAAACCCGCAAAGGGTGTCTTGCAACCAAGGATGGGTCCAAATTGAAAACCCGAAAGGGCAATTTGGATAATTCAAAGAAATCCAGGCAGTTGAAACTTCCCGGCATCTGAATTTTCTGCAGACTCAACGAGTCGGAGAAGGGTTGCACTCTCCTGAAGGTCGTCACATTTTTTACAGATCCTTTGGCAAAGGCTGTATTCAAGGTCACCCAACGGCTTTTCAGCTCAGAAGTGCCCACATTATTAAAATCTAAGACACTCGTTTATACCTCATTATGTCTTCACCCTCCAAAATGTTTGTCATGTATTATTTGTTCTTTTTCCCTTGTGAATAAAAGACAATTCTTTTCTCTACACCAATTCCTTTTGAGCATCTTGGATTGAGCTTAAACTTAGTGATTTATTTATTTGTGCAAAAGATATTACTGTACAAAGGTTCATTGAAAAGTATAGGTACTCGGAAGCCGATCAAGGCTCATGCATTTAAGTGAGATGGTCGAGAAGTATTTCCCAGATCAAGGATAAAAAAACGAACATCAGATTGGAACATTTGAAGAATCCAAGATCATGGATTGAAACCTCATGACTCCATAATCAAGATTTCTAGACAGGCCTTAGCTAGAGTCAAAATCAACTTCGCAACGAAGGATATCTAGCACGAAGCCAAACATCCACGATTTCAACTCCACGATGGAGGATATCGTGCCGCTCAAGACAACACAAGTTCAACTTCACAACGAAGGGACGGCTGGTTGTCAACGAACAACTTTCCAATTTCAAAGCTGATTTCAACTCCACGACGGAGGATATCGTGCTACCCAAGACAACACAAGTTCAACTTCACAACGAAGGGACGACTGGTTGTCAACAACAATTCCCAGCTTCAGGACCAATTTCAACTTCACAGCGGAGGATATTGGACCCAAGACAGCACAAGCTCAACTTCACAGCGAAAGGGCGGCTGACTATCAACAAACAATTTCGGAGCCAATCTCAACTTCACAACGAAGGATATTGGAATCGAGACAACACAAGTTCAACTTCACAACGAAGGGACGGTTGGTTGTCAACAACAATTTCCCAGTTCCAGGGCCAGTTTCAACTTCATAGCGAAGGATATTGGACCCAAGACAGCACAAGCTCAACTTCGCAGCGAAGGGGCGGCTGACTGTCAATAAACAATTTCCCGGTTCCAGAACCAATCTCAACTTCACAGCAGAGGATATTGGACTCAGAACAATACTACTTACTTGGATTTAAACTTCACTACGAAGGATATCCAATTCTCAGGTTCAACTTCATGGCGAAGGGACCATATATAAATTCCAACTTCACAAACAGATTGACCCGACTTCACGACGAAGGAGTCATCTGTAAAACAGCGACACCAAAGTCCTCAGGTCAAGTTCCATCTTCACGACGAAACATCTTGAGCCAGAAGACGACTTAACTTTGAGCTAGGTTTCAGCTTCGCACCGAAGGATACCGCACTCAGAATCTTCCAGTTCGACTCAACCTCACGACGAGGGAGTTATTTCAGGATTCAATCCAAATCCACAAATCAGTCTTAACACCGGATTTCAACTCTACAATAGAGGATATTCGATGTGATTGAAATTCGTGTCTTTTAATCTTTGCTCTATTTTCGTTACACGCTAATGAGCAAAGAGGGGCAGCTGTAGACACATGAATTTCAAGGCCTACATGTTGGCCCAACAATGGATTAACACGCCAAGCCCATACAGAACCGGTTTCACGTAGGGTTGTTGGAAACCCTAATCTCCTATCTCATTCAGCCGCATCGCATCACCCATCCCAGCCGAGGACTCCCTGCCGTGCACGCCTCTCCAACAATCCTAGAAATGTCCGGCAACCGAGACTCATGTTCATCACCAACAACCCAACATTAGACTTCTATTAGGATTAAAAATGTAATCTAAAAACATGCTTTTCTTTTATTATAAATAAGTGTAAAGCAACACCATTAGGGGAAATTCGGATTACATGAAATAAAAGCAGAAATTCCAAGCAAAAGTTAGAGCAAAACCGAAACTTTTTTTTTGAGAAGAACAAAAGGTAAAGCTTATACCATTTTTTCGTTTTGGCACTTGCATGCGTTCGTTTTGATTCGGAAAACCACCAGAGGAAACGTTTTGGCCGATGAACATGGGGGTAAACCGAGATCTTCTCCCTTAGATCCACGGTTCCCCGAGGCCCGTTTTAAAAAAAAAGGGCTTTGATTCTCGAAACGAGGGTAAAACGAGCTTTCGAATGGCAAAAAAAAATTATAAGGTTTTGCCGCCGATGAATGACGACCGTCGCCGTTCAACGACGGCGGCGAGGTGGCGCGGAATGGCCATGGTGGCCAGAAACTGGATTTTGGGGGTCTGTTCTTCAGAAATGAAGAACAGGCGAGAGCAATTCAAATAAAAAGAGGGGAGGGGCTTAGTTTTTAAATAGGAAAAGTGAGGGTTTTAAGAAAATTATTGGCATATATACGCGACCCGACCCAAGTTTCTGACTCGTGCGTTTTTAAATAAATATGGGTTAATCCCATTTTTAGTCCCTCATAGATTTAATCCTTGTTCTTTGACCCTGAATCCTAATTTTTGAATCTGATTCTCCTCTAATTTGTCATTCAATTTTCCTTTTTACAAGTTAGTCCTTTCTTTTAAAAATTTTAATTCTGCTTTTCTATTGTTATTATATATTATATTATAATATATATATATACTCCTTAATATTATTTTATTAGTTTCTTTGTCTCTATTTTAGTTTTTTTTTTCTATGTACATTCGTGTATTATTATTATTATTATTTATTTTATTTTTATATATATATATATATATTTTTTCATTTATTATTTCTATTCTTTCTGTTTTTTTAGTACTTATTATACTTTTGATTATCTTGTTATACCCTTTTTATGTATACTGTTTATTTATTATTAATAGTATCATTAACGTGTATATATAAATATTATTTAATTTTCTCTTTATTATTATCGTCTTTGTACATATTCTTTTATTCATTTCATTTCTCTTATTCACTTAATTTTATTTATTTATTTTTTCTCTTGTCTAGTTGTTATTTATTTATTTATTTATTTACATACATTTTTTACTTTATTTATTTATTTATTTTATTTATTCGTTTGTTTTATCTTATTAATTTCTTATTATCTTTATTTTTCGATTCACTTCCATTTCTTTTTTTTCCTTAACATTTCTTTTCCTTTAAGGTACTTTCAATCAATCTAAGGTAAGTAATTTTGGGATCATTATTTTACCTTTTAGGTTAAACTTTCAATTTTCTTAATTAAAGACAACTGGAAATTATATAGTACCGAAAGGGCAGTTCAAGGGTGCTAACCCTTCATTGACTGTAACCGACTCCCGAATCCGACATATCTCTGGTAAAACGCAGATCAGGTAATAAATAGGGTATCCGATCAACCCATTTATTTTTAAATAAATGATCGGTGGCGACTCCAATCCACATTTTTCTAAGTCGAAGTCCAATTCCGGGAACCAACCGAAAGACGGTTGCGACAACAACATAATCCATTTATGTATTAATTTTGGGTGTTATTGTAGTGCTTCAACATTCTTCACGCGTAATCGGCTCCTAAACCTAATCATGATCCTGGTATAAAATTATACTAAATTTTAATGGTGTTCGGTCATACTTAACTCTTCAAATACTCAGCACATTTCGAACAACCGAAAGTTGATCGCAACATTTAACATAATTATATATAAAAGAAACATAGTAATATTTTTTTTATTGTTTTGTACAACAATGGTGGAAGTATACAATTAAAAATCCTCTCCAAAAATTGCATAAGGCTATAGCAACATGAGGCATTCATATATATTATTTTCTTAATTTTTTTTTTGTATACCATTACATTATACAGTATCAAAAAGAACATCACATTACAAATTTTAATGATTATATAAATATATCCTTTAAGAAACACTTCAAAGTGTGATTTTTTATTGTGCATATAAATAAATTCCATCTCTCAGAAAGAATTCTTTTAAAATTTACGCGTAGCTGCACATTCCATAAACGCAATATTCGCCGGGACGGCACCGGTGGTTGCAAGCCCCGCAATGCCTCTTGTCAAAGCAATCTCGACGCACTCTCCCGGCAGCAAACCTGTGTGAACTTGCACTTCCTCTTGCACGCGCCGCAGTTGTGGGCGTCCGTCGCCAAGTAGACGCACTTGTTGTTGCAGCAAATGGAGGTGGAGCCGTCTTGAACGTAGCAAACCTCTTCGTCTTTGTGGCAATGGTCGGCGGCTCTAGGGTTCCTAACTTCTTGCTGGAGGAAACGACTTACCCTCTTCGGCATCAGTGGTCCGGCCTTCGGTGGTGCGGTTGATGAAATCAGAGCAGGGTTCGTTTCAACGCCGCCGCCGATGGTTTTCGTTGCTAAAGTGATCATCATGGCTACGGTGAGGAAGATTTTGGTTAGTTCCATCTTGTTTCTTCGTGTGTTTTAGTCTTCGATTCTTGAAGGTTGGTTTTTTTTTTTTTTTTTGATCTTGTTCTCTTGTTTATGAAGAACTGGAGAGTAGTTGAGAGACTTTTGGTGATGGAAATGGAGGGGATTTGGGTTTATAAAGAGAGGGGCTGACCTAAAAAAGGGAAAAAACTGGCAAGGTGCATGATGGATATGGAAAACTAAAGCAATGAGTATGGTTGAATTCTTAAGCTTAATTAATTAATTAATTACTATTTAAGAAATGAAATAAACGGTTATAGTTTGTTGAGACCCGCCTTTGAGTACCGAGAACGATAGGGATCTGAGCGTTCAATATTAAGAGGTTGCGAGTTATCTTAGAACATATATTGCATCGTATTTATACCATATTGATTTTAAAAAAAAAGAAAGAAAGACATGAAATAAATTAGATAAGAAAATGTAGATTTTATTAGTTCTTAAGCTAGTCGATATTATTGTTGCATTCATCTCAAGTTTTTATTAATTGAGTGACATCAATGGTTAAAGAAGTGCTATTCTCCTTGAGGTCATTGGTTCAAGCAATTGCGGCTACATAGTTGTAAGTATGTCAGTTACTGAGTTTAATTACCTCTCTTCGAATGTGTACTACCATTACCTCCTAATCTAAATTTAGTAGCATTCTAATTGAATTGACGAGGGCATTTATAATCGTCTCTTTCTACACTATTATCTCTAAAAATTGATCTTTTATTCTTTGAACAGAGCATAATATATTTATGTTTTTGCAGCCCTAAGTATGAACATTTCTTGGGATGAATTGAATTTGTATGAATCTTATAAATTATTTAATTAATTGTTTTGTTGTAACATTAAGCTTGAGGCATGTGCCAGTGCAACAATCACATGGAACCCTAGAAAGTCATCAATGATTTAGCCATGGAAAGGGGCTCTTAATATGGACTGCCCTCGGCAAATTTAGCCATGCCGTTTGGCTAAGCAAAGTCAAGTTCATTGGAGAAACCAATACTTGAGCACAAAGCTTATATAAAATATAAATGTATGTTAGCAAGCAATTCAAGATTTGGTGTTTATTGTGTAAAAAGTAATAGAAATTTATATTATAAGAGAGATTGCATAGGATAGTGCCAATGGCATGAATCATTCAAAACTATAATAATCAATTTTAGAATTTATATATTAATATTTTTTATGATAATAAATATTATTTTAAAATTTATATTTATATAATTGTGTAATTATAATTCTTACTATTAAAATATAATATAAAAAATTAAAATAAAATGATATTTTGTCAATCAAACATGTAAAGAAAATAATACAATTACACAATTATTCCATGGTATCTAAACACAAAGTGTCTGCTTCCATTCATCTTAACTTCGAAAATCCAGTTTGAGGTAATCGAGTCTTGATTTGATGAGAATCGATGGGCTAGGTGTTGAATTTACACACGAATTTTATTTAAATATACAATTTAATACATAGATTTTAGTATTAGTTCAAATATACACATAAAATTTAACTTTGATTATATATATATATATATATATATATATATTCATTTTTATATTAGTAAACATCTAATGGTGTTGTGTTGACAATAGTATTAGTTGCTTGTGAAAAAGTAAATCAAATTAAAATTTGATATATAAAACGAAAATTCATGTGTAATCTTAAAATTTATGCCTTGAGACGAGTGATGATCATTAATTAAATTTCATTGAATTAATAACTCATGAAACAATCCATTTATTATTTCTCGGATTGAATTTAGATTTCTTAAATGAAAATAAACAAACTAATTTTTATACATTTTGAAATAGGTAAAGTGATTCCTTCTTCAAAAATATTCATCTATTGAGAGGTCTTAGTGGTAAGAAAGAATATTATTTTTTTATAAAAGATTCATGTTCAAACAATTATGTCTTTAAAATGTGTGTAATGTCAATAAGCTAAGAAAATTTCTAAATATATATCACTTGTAATCATCATAAACCATTAAAAAAATAATATTGTTTCATTTCCCACTGTATTTACCATCATAAACTACCACCTCATCCGTTGTACGTCAATACTAATTGTAATCAATATTCGTTGTAGGTCACACGCCTAAAACTAAAATACCTCTGAGAAAGTAGTTTAATGTTCAATTTAAAAGAAGTAAAAGTGAAAACCTGACATACATAAACACAACAATTATAATCATAATGAAATCTAGATGATTACAAATGTACAAATCGCATACTAATGGAAGCCATTACTGCATAAATGAAATATTGAATCATTACAAGAATGAAAGTGGTAAGCCTTCGTAAAATTCATGTTATTAAAATTAACAGTTCTTCACCTAAGTGAAAAAGAGTGAATTACATAGTTATTGTAACACCCCAATTTTCTCTTATTTTAAATTAAATTTATTTAATCAAATTTGGGGATCAATTTATAAGATCTTGAAGATGTTATGGTAGTTTTTGATTTTTTTTTGGGAGTTCAGGGACCCAAAGTTTGAAATTGTCCATCCCTTTTCAGGGCAAAATAAATAAAATAAATGTAATTTGTGGGATTTGAACCCATGTTTTTTTTTATCATGGGAACCAAATCTAAGCTTTAGTCATTTAGGCTAGGCTACTATAGTTTATGTGAAATAAATAAAATATCTTTTAAACTAAATGAAATCCTATTTTCCCATACTCAACTCCCCCCCGGTGAAACACCATAGCAAAACCAAATTGGTTTTACCCAAAGCCACTCACCGTCGTTCACCAGTCATCGGCCGACGGTGGCTTACACCGCTAGCAGTAAGCGAGGTGCCAGCCACGTGCGACCAAAACCCCTCTATCCCCTTGCCGAGTAGCGCCATCGATTGTCGTAAATTAAACCAAAGAAATTTGTCAAAACCCCTTGTAGCACGTGGGGTTTTCTTTGATTCCGATCATATCGCTCATCAGTTTGCCTCACCACCGGCGTGGTTAGACTCGCTGTGCGCTCAAAACTCGACCGAAATCGTCGTGTCGCTGATGTTCCACCGTTGTCACTAGTCGGTCACCGTTGGAAAAGTTTAAACATTTTAAAATTCCAAACTCCGTCGTATTTCGTCGAAAAATAACGCATACACGAGACTCCCGATGTAACATCCCAAAAATTGGGTTAGTGACTAAAATGGAAGTTTTGAAATTTGGTGATCAATTTAGGAAAATTTAAAAGTTCAAGGACTTAATTGAGAATTTATTTAGGAGGATTGATTGGTAAATATGAAAATATTAAAGGGCATAATGGTCATTTGGCAGGAAATGAAATTTTAATTTATTCCCTTGTGTATTATATTTACACATGGAAGAGAAAAGATGGTAAAAAGAAATCTAGAGAATTCTCTTCATCTTTCTTCTTCTCCTCTCCACCGTGACTCCATAGCTTGAGGTAAGGAATATTCAGTTGGTTATTTCTTGTAAATTATGTTTGGTTTTGATTCTTGGGGGTGTTAGAAAATGTATGGAAGCTTAAAGAGTGATAGAAACTTAAAAGAATGGCAAATTATGAGGATTTAATATAAGGGGTTTTTAAGTGAATTATTGGGTGAAAGTTTGTAAGTGATTTTTGAAATCATATTTGACTTGTTAAGGGTATAATTAAGAATATAGAAGTAGTAGAAGTGGATTAAAAACATGTTGAATAATTGGTATGATTTTTGGTTCCAAGTGTTCTATGAGAATATTGGATGTTAAAGTGTGTTAAAGTGAAGTAAGTTAGTCTGGGAGTGTATAGTTGAGTTTAAAGGCTTTGTGGAAGAGTAAAATGGAAAAGATAGCAAAGTTTTGGTAATTTTCAGGTTAAAAGAAGTGTAATATGGGTTAGTAGTATTGATACTGGATGAGTAAGTACTGATACTACAAGGCAAAAACAAGTGAAAATTTGGTGTAGGTATCGATATTGCATGAACAATATCGATACCATAAGGCATAAGTGGGATAAATCTTCATGGGGTATCGATACTAAAGTGATAGTATCGGTACCATGGGTATCGATACCAATGTGGAAGTATATGTACCATTCTTGTGATGAAATTACATAATCCTGAATAGGTATCGATACCGTGGGATGGTATCGATACTACAAGCATGGAGGTATCAGTACTGTAACTGTAGTACCGATACTACTTAAGTTGGTATTAAGAAATTAATGTTTTGTTTTGTTTATATCAGTAAGAATATTTACGAGTAATTCAAATCCCGATATTTATTGGATTGTATATTCGTGTAGATATCGATCGAAAACGAGTATCTGATGAGTCAACGAGATAAGATCGAGCAAGAATGAGATAAGCGTATGACTTGGACTAGTGAGACTAAGGTGAGTACATCTTATTTGATATAGGATTATATGGAAATTGAACTTGTGATAAGTCTATTTCCCATAATTATAGTGCATGAAATCATGAATACAAACATGTGATTGACATGATTTTTATGTACGCATAAGTATATATGTTGATATGTTCTTGTATGTCTTGTATGATTTATATAAATACATGATTATGTGATAGTATGAGAATATAATATAGTGTGATTATATGATCATAAGATATAAGTCATGTGACAAGATATATGTGATATATGTGATACATGAGAATATGATATAAGTTATGTATATGTGATGAGCCATGTGAATATATGTCTATAAGAAGACATAAGAACAAGATATAAACCATGTGATATGTGAATTATATGGAAATGTTCTACCTGTAAGTGAACTACATGCCTATTTGAATATGTGAAATGACATAAAAGATAATGCCCATGTTATGTGATATGAGAGCTAGGGGTATATTTGGCATGACAAGAGTCGAGGGTTCTATGTGGTCCTTCGGGATATATATGTAATCCTTTGGAACATATATGCGGTTCTTCGGAACACATATTTGATCCTTTGGAATATATATGTGATCCTTAAGGAGTGGTTCTTCGGGACATCTATGGGTCATTCGGGACATATATGTG